ATTCGGTGGAGAAAATTAAGGCGATCTTATCCTTCTTCGCATTTGCAATTACAGACACGTGAAAATACCGGCTTTGAACGACTCCCAATACATCGGCATGAGCGTTTATTTCGTGGTGATCACTTCAGGAATCGTGGTGGTTTTGGCGAATTTGATGTCCGACCGTGTAACTCTGGCTTTCGTTACGATCACCGCTCTGATCTTAGCCTCGACGACCGCGACGCTGGCGTTGCTGTTCCTTCCCCAGCTGACGAACATTTTGGCCGGCGAGAGGGCCGACCCCGTCGTGCAAAGTCTCGGTTTGAAGATCGAATGCAACACGAGGAGATTCGTGACCGACGATAGAACGTAAGTTTCTCCATTTACGAAGAGGGGGAAATAATTTTCCTCTTAATTAATTAATCTTCTCGCGAGAAACGATTCGTCTCGTGATGAATAATTTGGAATTGTGGGAATAATTGGAAAATAGATCTGTTATTGAAAATAATAATCGAATTTAACGAGAATGAATATTGTCGGATCGGGGCGACAACAGCGAGCTTCAGTATCGCGTGGAAGTGCAGAATCGCGTGTATCGTCGTGAAATGGCGCAGCTGGAGCTGGAATTGGCCAGATTGGAGAAACAATTGGCACAGGAACCGGTTGAACCATCGCACGCTTCGTCGAGCGCGTCGATTCCGCAACGCAATCCGAGCATCGGGGGTGGTCTGCCTTTGTTGCTGCTCAGCGTCCTCCCACCGGTCATCCCCAGGGCTAGCTGGCCGTCCGCCGATTCATCCGGTGAGCGAGATTCTTTGCCGCGTTGATCCAACATTCATCGTGCAAATAAATAATCTCCGACCAATTCGCTTATCTTTCTCCAACGATTCATTTGCACGATGAATGACGAAGTTATTTCATCGAGGAGAGAAAGAAGGATCGATACATAATTATCGTATCATTTTTTCATCATTCAGGTGTAGGAGAAAGGTGACAGAATTCCGTTTATTGCACGCAATAATTGTTTGAACGATCCTACCACCGTTTACATTTTGCTTGAGTCCAGGGAATTAGAATAAGGAAATTAAATAAAACTTGTCGAAACGAATTTTTCCCGAATTCGAAAGAAACTTGACTCGAAAAGAAAAAAGAAAAAATCGTTACGAATTCTCGAATAAAATTGCATGAGAACTGAGAGATTGCCGAGCAACATTTTCAATGGGAAATGTCCATTCGCTCGAATCACGAACGCTGATGATTGCAACGAGGCGGTTATAAGTTTCGTCACCCTGCCCTGTATTTATATATAATATATATATATATAGTTTGCAACAGCTTGAGAATGTAGTTCGTACAGTTGTAATATATTAATCGCAATTCGAGATATTAGGCTGCACTCGTATTTCCCCGAGCTCCGAATCCCAAACCCCTTGACAAGTTCGGACAAATCCCTGACAGGGATATATGTACAGTACATCCTCTCTATTCTCTGCACGTTAAATCGCACGTTTCGAATTCACTAATGTCGCGACGAATCGAAGGATATCGAACAGATGCGCAAAAATTTCAAGCATGAAATTTCCCATTTCTCTGCTCTTTCCGAACATTTGTTTCGGCAAACCGTTTGCTTCTGCGCATATATGCGCGCGCATACACGTATACATATACATATATCGATGTAGATCCGTGAAAGGACAATTTTATTATTTCTCGCGTGTAAAAAATACGCGTAGAAGAATTTGTCTCGCGATTCTTCTTCTCCTTCCTCCTCTTCTTGCGATATCTCGGCACACTGCTTTCGCTTTTGCGCTTCCTAACCTAAAAAATATTCTAGCATCCCATGGATGAAGAGAAACGTGTAACGCTCCTCACGATAGTAATTCGATTTGCTCGTTTAAATCAGGGATACGACGCGGTACTGTAGCGTTTAGCAGTCAACCGGATTTGGAGCCGGACACGGGGAGGCGAAGTCTCGCGGACATTTACAAGCTTCATCAACGAAGAGAGACGGAAGGGGCAAATCGGTTGGGCGTTTTTCAACGATTCTTCAGCCTTTTCGGCAGTCGTCCCAGCAGCAGGAAAACCTCGATCGCTTCGTTCACAGGTACGTACACGCGTGGCTGCGTGTAAGAAAGAAAGAAAAAGGGGGGGAGGGAAAAAAAGAAGATATACGCGTAAGGATTGGAATCCCGTAGGAGTGGCGTCGGCGTTACGGGTTCATATGGGCTACATCGCCGGCCTGGTGCCAGGCACGAAAGCCGCATCTACCTGTCAGGTTAATGCCCAAGGCGCTCGTTCCCCTCATCCTCGATGTGGCTCAGGACCAATAATTAGTATTACTAGCGAAGAAGATCGCAGATTAAGCCTGGGGTTACGTCGTAAAGAGTACAGCGAGCCAAGAGTGAATTTCAGTTTACCGCCCAGTAAGTAAAAAAAACTGTCCTTTCCCCTCGAAAATTACGTTCCACGATTTTTACGATTGCGATATTATCCACCACGAGAATTGCTAGAAAGTTGATTGTTTTTAGAAGCGAGTACCAGCCAAACGTCGTCGCGGGAAAAAATTCGAGGATCCCCCCGGTTTCCTCATCGGATAGTGCCGACAAACAGTTTAAATACCATTGCATCGGGATCGTCCATCTCGAAATCTCATCGATGGCATTCCATGGAAGACGCGAGAAAAAGCAAAACCGTCTGTCAACTCCCCCGTGGCTCGTCGTGCAGCCCTAGCTGCGACGTGTGGGCCACTCGTGAATTCGGGATTCCATTAAGCGAATTGGGGAACACTGTTCGGGGCAAAAAACTTGGGGAATCATTAGCCTTCGCCATTACGGCGGAATCGAATGTAAATCCGGATGACGCGAGCCTTGCGAACGATCCGAAGAAATTGTTCCAAGAGGGAACGTCCCCTACCGACTCGGACGCGAAAACTGCTCGTTCCTCCTCCTCCTCGTCCTCCTCGTCCTCCACGTCCCACGCCAGGACATTCAGCGTGACGAACGACGCGTCCTCCTCCAGAAATCCAGAATCCAGTCCTCGGTTAATAAACACCGGTAATACGAACTTCGAGATCGAGAAATCGGATCGTTCTCGACCCTCGAGCCCCATAGTTCGCGTGATCAATCTCAATCCTCAATCCGAGGAGATGGATAATCGCACAAACGCGAAATCGTACGAAAATCAACTGCCGCGTAGATTAAAGTAACAAGCGTGGGGGAAAAAATAACTTGCTGTTCCGTGGATATTTTCTTTTCTTTTCTTTTCTTTTTTTTTTTTTTTTTCTTCCATTCTATTTAACTCTTGGCGTAATTACGTATGTTTTTAATCAAGAGAAAGAAGAGAACCTTTCGATGAAAAGGTTGAAAGAGCGCGAAACATACGTGAATTTCTTAATATTTTTTTTTTTTCGTCTCTCGTTTCTCCTTTCTTCCTTCCCGTTCTTAAGATTATATTGTTTAAAAGATAAACGGATAAAGAGATGTAAAAAAAGAAAAAAAAAATGTAATCATCTGTGTACATGACAATCCTCAATAATCGTATACACGAAAGATCAAGCTCAAATTGATCGTGCGAAAATTTAGCGTGAGAGTTGAGAATCATCGTTTAAATTTATCGTATGTGTGTTCCTTAGTAATCGTGCCAAAGATACAAAAGACTATTTTACGGGGCCCGTAAAGGTATACGGTTGATCGGCATTATGGATTATCACATTATGAAGGGACCAAAATAATAATAATAGTCATTTCTTATTCGTTCTTAGACGAATGATTTCTAATTCATGGTCGAAAGTTTTGAAAATTATTTGCCGATATGTTTAAATCTATACGTATATAATGATTCGAATTGTATTTTTTTTTTTTTTTTATATATTACTCTCTCTATTTTTTCGTGATAATAAACGACTTAATGGCGTAAAGTCGTTGAAGGAACGCTGAGAGTACTCTTACAGGTCCAACGTTAAAGTGTTCAGTATCCCATACCTTTCCTCAAGTACCTGCACTCGATGTAATAATAAAAAAGAAATATCTTCTCGTAAAATGAAAAATCGTAAGAATAAACATATTGGTTTCCTCTATAAATCTTCAAACCTGTAAAATATATATATATATATAAAGAATACATGTATAAATATATATATATATATATATAT